TCATCTATTTGGTGCCTTTCCAATTTCTTGATGTAGGCACCTATTGATATAAACTTTCCTCTTAACACTGCTTTTGCTATATCCCGTAAGTTTTGCTATGTTGTGCTGTAATCCTCATTTACTTCCACAAAGTTTTTGATTTCTCTTTTGATTTCTTCTATGACCCATTGTTCATTCAGGAGCATGTTGTTCAATCTCCATGTGTTTGCATATGCTCTAGGGATTCCTGATTTGCTAATTTCCAACTTCATTCCCCTATGGTCTGAGAAGCTGCATCATATGATTCTAATTCTTTTGAATTTGCTGAGATTTGCTTTATGGCCTAGTATGTGATCAATACTTGAGTAGGTTCCATGTACTGCTGAGAAAAATGTAAAGTCTTTAAGTGTAGGATGAAAAGTTCTATAGATATCTGTTAGATACATTTAGGCTATAGTGTCAATTAAATCTACTGTATCCTTGTAGATCTTCTGTCCTGTTGATCTATCTACTTCTGAGAGTAGAATATTGAAGTCCCCAGATATTTTTGTATTGGAGTCTAAGTCTCCCTTTAAGTCTCTTAAAATATCTTTTAAATAAACTGGTGCCTTGTAATTAGGTGCATATACATTGATAATCGTTATATCTTCCAGTTGAATTGATCCCTTAATCATTATGTCATGTCCCTCTTTGTCTCTCTTAACAGTTTTTGTGTTAAAGTTTATGTTGTCCGATATTAAGATGGCTATGCCAGCCCTTTTTTTATTTCTGTTTGCATCATATATCTTTTTCCAGCTTTTCACTTTCATTGTGCATGCATCTTTGTTGGAAAGATGTGTTTCTTGTAAGCATCTTAACCCAATCAGCCAATCTGTGTCTTTTAACTGGAGAATTGAGGCCATTAACGTTCAATGTGACTATTGACAAGTAGTAACTTTGTCCTGCCATTTTCCCAAAGATATTTTCTAATATATGCTTTGAACTTCCTGTGATCTTTTGCTGTGAGGTTTCCTTCCTTTACCTTCTTTCATATTGATGACCGTGTTTCTGTATTTCTGTGTTTAACCCATCTTTAAGCATCTTTTGCAGGGTTGGATGAGTGGCAACAAATTCTTTCAATTTCTATTTGCTGTGAAAGGTCTTTATTTCACCTTCATTCACAAATGAGAGCTTTGCAGGATATAATATTCTGGGCTGGCAGTTTTTCTCTCTTAGTACCTGGGCTATGTCTTGCCATTCTCTTCTAGCTTGTAGGGTTTCTGATGAGAAATCTGCTGTGAGTCTAATTGGAGATCCTCTGAGAGTAATCTGACATTTCTCTCTTGCTCATTTTAGAATCATTTCTTTATGTTTCACTGTGTTGAGTTTGATTACAACGTGTCATGGTGAGTATCTCTTTTGGTCATGTTTACTAGGGATCCAATGAGCTTCCTGTACTAGGATGTCTCTGTCCTTCTCCAAACCCGGGAAGTTCTCTGCTAGTATCTCATTAAAAAGGCCTTCTAATCCTTTCTCTTTCTCCCTGCCTTCAGGAACTCCTAGAACCCGAATGTTGGGTTTTTTAATAGTATCCTGTAGATTCCCAACAATATTTTTTAGATTTCAAACTTCTTCTTCTTTTCTTTGGTTTGACTGTATACTTTCCTGTGCTCTGTCTTCTAAGTCCGATATTCTCTCTTCTGCTTCACTGACTCTGTTTTTAAGGCTCTGTAATGTTTTTGTCATTTGATCTATTGAGTTCTTCATTTCATTTTGATTTCTCTTCACTATCACACTTTCCTGTTCTACTAGTTTCTGCATTTCATTTTGATTCCTCCTTAAGATTTCATTTTCATGAGAGAGATTTTCTATCCTGTCTAGTAAGTATTTCTGTAGTTCAAGAGTTTGTTTTTTAAAACTTCTAAATGTTCTTATCATAATTTTTTTGAAATCCATATCTTGCATTTCTTCCATCTCATCATCTTCATAGTCTTGGCTTGGGGTGTCTTGTTCATTTGGGGGCGGCATAATGTCTTCCTTGTTCTTGTTTCCTCAGTTTCTGCGTTTGTTGCTTGGCATTGTGGAGATATTCTTTGGATTCTTCTTCTCTCACTGTGGTGTTTTTTCTTGTTATACTATGACTGTATTAAGTGGACTGTCTGCTTTTGATGGAGCCTTAGAGGCTTGAGATGGGTATTGCCAGAGAGCTCTATTTGGTTCTTCAGTGTTAAGGGTGTGCCAAAGGTGACACTCCCAAGTTAGGCGTGGTAAATCTCTCTCTCTCTCTCTCTCTCTCTCTTTTTTTTTTTTGGTTCAGAGGGGAAGTAATTCCACAGAGCTGAGTGGAATTGAAGGTAGTCAGATTTGGATCTCTGGCTCCTATGGGTATAACATTCGCCTGATCTTTCCCAAGGACCACACAAAGAATCTTTTCTGCCCTCAGTGTGGACTCAAATTCCCCTGCAGTCTCCCACCGGGTTGCCAAGGTTACCGAATTGTAGCGTCTCTGGAGAGTACTCATGTGAATTCCGTGAGTTCTCTCACCCACTGTCTCTTTTTTCAGTCTCAGTTCATTAGCTCCACATATTCACTAGGTCCTAATCTCCTGTTATTTCACCCCGCCAGAGTCAGGTTTTTCTGCTTGGTGGAGGGCGGGCACAGCCCTGAGGTCGCACAACTTTTCTGTATGTCCAAAACGGCACCTGCTCTTTGTCTTGCTTGCCTTTGAGAGGTGAGTGGAGAGAGAGAGAAACTTGTGTCCGTACCGGTCCCTTTTTTTTTTTTTTCTCTCTCCTTTAGATTCTCCCATGGGGCTTCAAGCCTCCTTCCCTCTATGCTCCTCCTTCCGCTTTCCCGCTGGTGTCTCGGGCGACTGAGGTTCGGCTCACCTCGCGTTCCAGCGCTGGTGCGTAGATTCTGTGGCTGGTGTCCCGAGCCATGGGCTCCCACTCCCTCCATGCAGGTCCACCATGAATCACTAGTTCTGGAAGAGTTTCCTCTGCTGTTTCTTCCCCAAATCTTCCTTGAACCTGCAGTATCTCCACTTTTATTAAACTGTCTCTTCCTGGACTAACAGTGTTCTCCCTTCCTATTCAGCCATCTTGCTGGACCCCAGAGAGTTTACTTTAAAAAAAAAAAAAAAAAACCTTTCCTAACTTATTCAGCCTCTGGGACTGAGAAATAATAATGAATTTCTGAGGCCTTCGTTTTGTTGACAGTCTACAGGGGACAATAACTCCAAAGCTCAGAACTCTTCCAAATTCTTAGGCTTAATGATGACATCAGTTGCTCCATAGGTACTATTAAAGCTTATTTAATATCTTTTCTCATCTCCAAATTGGAGATTCTGTAATTCAAGACTAAGTCCTATCTAAAATTATATCACAAGGAATTTAGCTTGTTATTTTTCATTTCACATGTAGATTTTCCTATCGACTCTATATAGGAAAAATACAACCTTATATTTACTTTCTAAAGATTGAAATTTTTTTCATTATTATTACTTTTTAACAATCACTGTGTTTAGATCTCCTCTTATAATAATTTTAGGTAACAGAAATACATATGTTTTAGCATAGTAGTTCAAAGTAAAAATATTTAAGAATATTTTCTTTGTGACTACAACCAGGGATATTAAAAAAGGATTTGGAGAATATTTTCTTCCTTTCTTTTATTTTAGCATGGAAATTGTCATAAAGAGTCTTTTTTGATGTCAGGACCAATAAATTAAAATTTGAGATTTAGTGATTTTTTTCTTCCTCATGATCTCAAATTTGCATCTGAGTTTATTTGGGACAATATGTTTTTTAGTAAATATTGTATAATCTATGTACTCTTTTGTATTTTATCAAAATCTTTGTCCTTATTTAAAAGTTTGAATTCAGAAATGCTATTATTTAGTTGATTGTTGTACCACCCAAAATGTCTACCAACGTTATAGTTTCCCAATGCATAGTCCTTTCCAGATATTTTAATTATATTTTTACAGGATGAAAGAATAAACAATGACTCAGAAAAATACTTTGTATTTACTTCAGAGATGATAAAAAGCTTTCATGCACACATATATAGTTTAATAATACATACTAATTAATATTTTCAGTACTCCCTAGTACTTCCATGTGAAAAATAATTCTTAAATAGCTACCTAAAAAACTAATTCTTAAATCAATATGAACTTTTTTTTAAATTTATTTTTATTTATTTATTTTTGGCAGGTGGGGTGGACAGTGAGAGAGAGAGAGAAAGGTCTTCCTTTTGCCGTTGGTTCACCCTCCAATGGCCTCCATGGCTGGCGCACTGCAGCCGGCGCACCGCGCTGATCCAATGGCAGGAGCCAGGTACTTATCCTGGTCTCCCATGGGGTGCAGGGCCCAAGCACTTGGGCCATCCTCCACTGCACTCCCTGGCCACAGCAGAGAGCTGGACTGGAAGAGGGGGAACCGGGACAGAATCCGGTGCCCCGACTGGGACTAGAACCCGGTGTGCTGGCGCCGCAAGGCGGAGGATTAGCCTAGTGAGCCGTGGCGCCGGCCTAAATCAATATGAACTTGAGAAATGTGAGAATATACTTTGTAATATCTTAGTTGTAGAATAATTAGATAATATTAAAGCCTAAGAGAATTTCCTACAGTGCTTAGCTTAATATTCCAAATTACAGATAAGACAATAGGAACTTTAAAAAATAGAATAGCCATCTCAAAATCTTGTGATATTATCCAAAACAAAACTGTTATTCTAGTCTACTTCAATGCTTTCTTCACTATTTAACATTTTTAATACACACATATTGAATTCAATAGTAGTATAAAATACCTTAAAAAACAGGCTACATATATAACTCACTTTTACTCAAAGAAAGCCTATAATATTTTTGCAGAGTAATTTATGTAACAGATGCTAAATAAATGTTTGCATGAAATAATATATAAATACTAAATTATTTTTAAGAAATTAATGGATTCAGATGTCTAATCAGATTTTATTATTGCTGCTACAAATGTTTTATATGTAGTAAGCTAGATTTATTTTTTTTCTGAAAGGGTATTTGGGTACCTGAAGGAGAAACGGTGAAGATTCCCGTGGCTATTAAGATTCTTAATGAGACAACTGGTCCCAAGGCCAATGTGGAGTTCATGGATGTAAGTATAGAAACCCAGGCAATCATAGTTTTATGTATTAATAAATTTACTGCTTTGAGAATTAAAAAATGCTCTATAACTTGCAAAGTTTCTTCCCTTGTAAATGGTATGACCTTAGAGTTAAAGAAACTTTAATACCAGTTGAGATCACTTTTGGTTCACTGCTATCTAACTAGATAGTGACCTAGAATTTGCCTTTGGAATTTGAATCTATTTTCAGTTTCCAAGGTGAATTTTATACATGTTGAATGAGACATATAATGTTTTCACATATATTGTTAAATTTAGGTGACTATCTTTCTAGTGAAAGCAATACATAATTTTCACTGCATGCGTTTTTTAAAAACTATAAACAAACGATTGCATTTAATAATCAGATATTGTGGGTATTTTAAAACTGGTTACACTGAACAGTATTAGGACTCTGTGGTGATGTAATGATAGTAATGATAAGTCAATAATATTTACAAAGTGCCTCCTGTTCTAGGTAAATAATATTTACTAAGTTTTCATCATATGACATGCGCTGTTATAAATAATTCAGAAATTTAATCTTGACAGTTTAATCCAAGGTCACAAAGTATGGAAATGGCAGATCTATTTGAGCTAAAGTTGCAAGTTTGAATAGAAGTTAACAAATGTTTTCTAAAAGACCCAGAATCTTCTCTGTGGCAGCTTCTCAACTCTGTGTCCTTTTGGGTGGGAAAGCAGCTATCATCAACAGTTAAAACAATCAGTGTGACTTTGTTCCAATAAAGCTTTATTTAAATAAATAAGCTGCAGACTACATTTGGTCTGAGGGTCACTCCTACCTTTCAAGTGCCGTGTAGTTAACTGCTATGCCAAATTGCATTTTTGGAATGGGGATGATGATTTGAAAAATTAGTTGGACTGCTTCATTTCATAATTATCTATTTATTTGAAAGCAATCAATATTAGCTTCTATAGTGTTAGTCTATTAAATTTAACTCAATAACCTATCTGAGTCAGATGGAAATTACCCAGTGAAACTTTACTCTTTATTTCAAATTCAAAAGACATGACTCTATAGGTAGAAAGTTACAACTATAGAATAACAGGAATGTTAAAGGATAAAAGTGCTTTATAAGGTCAATCAGAACTTTAAGGTTTTCTTTAGCAAAAATTGTAGATTGAGTGCTTCAGCAAATTTCAGAAAGCTGAATGGAATTAAACTATATATGTAGCAGGCTGTTATTTTTTCACATTCAACACAAGATCTCTTACCAGGGGTTCCATCAGAGAGCCATATGGGTTCTTTCTGTATCTTTTAGCATTATGTCTTCAGTAATAATGATTTTGATTTTCAAATGACCTTTCTATGAAAGGTGATGCAAGCATATATACTTGATTTTCATTTTTTAAGTATAGACCCTGATATATTTTTTAGCCGGTTTCTCTTATAAGCCCTTTTGTATATTTTACAGGTGGTCAGTCTATGGCCTTGAATAATTTGTTCAGGAATATTGCTAACCACCTTGTAAAAACTTTTTAACTTAGTATTAGTTATCATGTAGTAGAAATGATAATCAACTGATCCAAGCTAGCCAGTCTGATCAGTTCTGTGCCTTATTAGTGCTATTTTAAATATCAATTGTGTTGCTTACCTACCAACACCTATGTAAGAAACATTGAGTCCAGTAACTAAATTATGTTCCTTTCTACAAATTTTGAAAATTTTTAATGGTCTTTACAGCTAAATCTCCTGGCTTTTATATTAAAATTTGGAAGTGAAGCTTTTTTCTGATGTTGTCCCAATCACTCAATTTGATCTTACCACATTTATAAGTTGGTTAAAGGAATTTTTAAAGAAAACAGAAATTATAAGGAAAACTTACAAGTAGAAACACTGTAGTACAACATACAAAACTCATATAAAAAAGATCTTGTACAGCCTAGGCTACAGCCAAAACTGACATTCACAAGAATTCTAATAAACTCTGCTGGAGCCTTGCACAGCCATTTTTGTCATATTTCCATGGAAACAGACTGGCAAAAGGGGGTTAAGAGGCTATAAAATAATCACCTAAAAAAGAAACTCTAAAAACCTCATCATGATTTTGAATGATTATTTGAAAGCTCCTAACCCCATCATTTTTTCTTGATCTGAACTCTATTCCCATGGAAACAGAAGTGGTGATGGCAGCTTGAAGTCTTCGATTTCTGCAGAATTTCAGATGAGGCTCTGATTGAGCCATGAAAGGAATCGTTTTCCTAGATGTTAATGGACTTGGTAACCACCAGACTCAAAAAGTTTGTTCTTTTTGGAACTAAAAAGCAGTAATATTTTGATGATGTCTTTCCTACTTGTGAATAGATGCTAGAAAATTAAAAGACTGATGGACTGCTATCAGCAGAGGCTTCATCACTGTCAGGTAGAAACACTTCCTACTATTTCGGTGACTTCTTTTGCAACATTATAAGGATAGTATCACAGTTATTAAAGAACAGTTTAGTAACTCAACCATGAATTCAGTGTTTTAAGAAGGTGGCACTATTTTAATGTGGACATATACCTACATTTTATATGTATAATTTTTGCTCATCTGATATGTGTGCAGATCATTCTAAGTATTTGAATAATATATCAAACCACAATAACATGTTTTGTATAAGCAAAATTATTTATAATGTGGACCTAAGGATTCAATTAAAATTTATGAATACCTCAGAGTTACTAAGATAATACCAATGTATTTGACATATGTCTGAATTTGGGTTCTTCAAGGAGCAGAATCCATGAAGCAAGAATTTGAGAGAAAGTAGTTAATTTTAGAGGTAAAAGAGTTTATATATATATATATGTGTGTGTGTGTATACCCTTAGTAAGCATTAGACTTAGCTGTCCTCTAACTTTACACTTAAAGTAGAATATTCCAGATTCAATAATTATTACCCTTATATTGATTAGATATAGCTGTACTTCACTGGATCTTATAATATATGGCAGGAATGCAGTGACTAAATATACAAAATTTTCACCATATCCAACACATATATTGATATCCAAGGGCAAGGGAGACAAGACTTTTATATTTCCTTAGAATTTTTATTATAGGGAAAAATAAATAAGAGGCAGTTTGTACTCTATTAAATGTTACGCTAAAAGCAAGAAAAGGAGAATTTGGTCACAGGGCTGCTACTTAGCTCACCCGAATATGTCTAATGGATTCATAATGACAATAATAACATACCAGTAGTGAATGGCTGGTACATTCTTCATTCCCGTAAAGGAAGATCACATTGAACAACATTAAGAAAATGAGTCCAAAGGTCCACTTTCATAAGAAAGCTTGCATTCACTCATTCCTAGTTCTCACTTCAAAAGCCACCATTTCACTGGGGAAATGCAGGCTTTGTGTATGTGAGGAAATGTTGGGGGGAGCAGTTGTTTGTTTTATAAGGCCACCAAATGCCATGAGTACATATTTAAGAAATGATGTGATTGAGCAAGATTCCTGGAATTAAGAGCTCTGGTCTGCTGAAAGCAGACAGGTTCTTCAGTGTTCCCACAACTCCTTGTTTTTCCCGGTAAGCCTAATATAAGTTGACATCATATTTAAATGTTTTGCCTAAATTATTTGTTTCCTTAAAAAAAAACAAGCTGAGGATGAAAGAAATTCTGTAATTATCCTAAGTTCCAATGGCTGGTCAACAATACTGGGTTAGTGCTTACGTGAATCTTCTGGGCTTCATTTTCAGCTTTCCCACATCAAGTTCCCACATGGTTCACAATAAGGTGCTTCAAGGCAGTCTGTTTTAAATCAGCCAACCTTTTTTGTTTAAATGGTGATATTGATTTCAAAAGAAAAATAAATTGCTTCCTTCTTCTTATACCAAAAGAAATTTCATTTTTCTTATATAACTGTTTTCTGAAGTTTATGAAAATTGTGTTTATATTATTTCTCTTTTCTGTATTGCCTTTATGATATTCAGTATTTTGATGGGAGTTTTCAGCTCTAATTGATGTAATATCAACGGTGTGAGATGAATGCAATTTACTGGAAGTTTGTATTTTCTCTCAGGTAACAGCAGACTTGCAATATATTTAAATATTTAAATTTATATATTTATATTTAAACAAAATATATTTTGTTCTGTAACATTTTCACCTTACAAAATTTCACATGTTTGGCTTCTCAGAGTTAGGAATAACACTTAGCCAGATCCTGTGTCATACTAAATCATTGATTTTCTAAAAATGGATATTATTTAGTTTAATTATATCTTTTTGGTTTGCAGGTTTTGTTCACTTGCTTTTATGAATGTAATTCGTGAATTTTGGGGATGAAAAATTTCAGAATTTCTTTTTATTAGGTCTATTCTTATATGTCACAAAATTCTATACTATTTACATGATCTTGAAAATTCAGTTAACCAATTTTCTTTACTTAAGAAAAATTACAGCTAAAATAATTAAGGAAAGTTATTTTGATTTTAATGGTAAAATTATACTTCAGAAAGAGTATCCATAAACTACATAGGAAATAGAATTTAGAGTCTTTCAAAGTTCAACTAAAAAGGAAAAGAAAAGCAAAGACAAGCAAAATTCCCCAGTCACTAAAATAAATCATTGCTGTTATAGTTCACTTCACTGGCTCTTATTCATATTTTTGAGCTATATAGAACCCGCTCGTCAGCTAAAACACTATCTGAAGTCAGTTTTGGACACTCTGTTGCCTACCTACATTTTTGTGCCCCTCCAATATATCCTCTTTGTGTTGAATCTTTCCAGTCTTTTGCTATCCTTCTGCTGCCACCCATTCTCCTGTCCCCTTATAGTCAACATAGATTCATGACTAATCATTACAATCCCATTTGTAGAAAAATCTTCATCTTTCCTGCTTCTCTAAATCATGGAGGCAGTAGCAATCCTGGAAATATTGAAATTTCTTAGTGCCAGAGTCCAGATTTCTTTTCTTTTTTTTAAAAAAAAGGGTTTATGTATGTATGTATGCACAAGTGACAGAAAAAGAGAAAGA